TTTTGTCTTTTTGTTTTGAAAAAGTATCAGGAATATATGCCTAGAACCCATAACATATTCGAAGCAGATCATAACTTAAGGGTATATTTTCCCAACTCTCTTTAAACGATAATAAAGTGTACCTCAATGCTACACTTTTATTTTGAATAATAGTGTCATTTATATTTTCATGGAACTAGGTTCAGTGAGAACTTAATGTTTCTGTGTGTGTTGTTACTCAATATGAGTTATTCAATAGTGACATATAAATATCAACGCGTCCATGGCCGTCCTTTGATTTAGCTTAAATTTTCCTAGACGAATGTTTTTTTTTCTGCACATGTAGAGTAAATATGACTTTGGAAATCATTTACTCTCTTTAGAAATGCATGATTTTTCTAAATATAATTGAAAAAAAAAATCCACAAAGAATTAAAAAAAAAATCATAACTTGAATTTAAAATTACGGGATCTGTTTTATTTATTTATTCTGTCCATCCTCTTAAATGTGCAACGTGTACTTAAGAAAATGGAAGACAATAAATTTCATGTTCGTCTAAAATTTCATTTTGCCTTATAATTCTTACAAGGCATTATGACAAAAAACCCTTGACATATCCTTTTGTGAAACTGTACATTGTATGCACGTAAAGGCCGGTTGTATACCGGTAAGATTTGTATTATAAGATTTGTTTTATTATACAAAAGCTTACTGTGTATACATTCTTTATACAGTGTATCATAAGATTTTTCGAATCTTATAAAACTGTATTAAGAATTGAGCAATGCTCTATTTTCTAATACTAGTCTTCCCTTACCTATCACTTTCAACCAATGAAATGTAATGACACTAGGGGTCATCCTATTTTTATCATTACAAAAAAACTTATGGTAAATAATAATGATAGTCTTTACAAGTAAAGACATCGAAAAACTTGTAGCTTAATGGAGAAGGGAAAAGGACTTGTGGAATATATCAAGCAGTGCATAGTACGATGATAGACACTATCAGAGCCTTATCCTCCATTTTTATTACTTTGACAGAGAGATGAATATGGCGGGGGAGAACAAGTTGGAATACGTAGTTTATTTACAATCTTATAAGATATGTATAAGCGTGAGTACAGGAAAGTATTATAATACAAAAGTATTATAATACTTGCATGATACTAAAAATCTCATCGAGTGTACCGGCCTTATAGGTTTATTCTGCGCCCACAACACATAATATTATATTATAGTGCCGTACATGTACTAGTGTCCTGTACCAAATATGAAATTTGTTCAATAAAAATTATACTGTAATACACAATTTTAATTAAATCAAGTTTAAAATTTGTTGGTGGACAGTAGTGCAGTCTTTGTAACACAACACTTCTGACATACCGTATATTACTTGTAAGTGGAAATTTTAGCGAGACGCAAATTTAGCGATTCTACCTAACAACTGGTATTTTATTTTTAGCGAGAAGTAAGTTTAGTAAAGTTTTAAATGCTAACTCAAGAAGCTATTACAAATAATACGCAATTAATAGTTAGCAATAATAAACTTTAGTGATGTCATCATTCTCGCTAATAATGCCAAAATTAAAAACTTGCTAAAAATTCTACTTATACGGTTCATAATAGCTGAACACTGTGTCCCTAGACTACGGGTGCTCCTCACTTCTCCAGGCACCTACCCCATCTCTGTTGTTTCAGGGATCCGTGTTTATCCTGTTAAGGATCCGTTATTAGGACAGGATTTATGAAATTGTTTACTGTTCATTCTCTTCATCATTTTTCGCGTACATGTATGTTCAACGTATCAAAAATATAGTACGGAAAATATTAGGTAATTGAACTTCTTTTTACTCGTATCATCAAAAGAAAAATTTACTAAGAAGAGCTATAATTACAGTGTACCCTCTTAAGGTACGATTCACCTCTGGTTTCTGACTAGATGAAATTTTCAAAGTATATTTGATTATATGTCTTATAAGTTATATACTCAACAAAAAAAAAAGAAACGCATGTTGTTTTACTCGTCAAAGAAATTTTTAAAATGTACATGGAACAACTATTTTTTATATCATTGGATACCTGTGACCTATTTAAAGGACAACATGAGGTTTTAAAACCCAAGTGTTGAATTATCTCCCTTGATTAAATATGTTTATGAAAGTAATGTTTTTCATGATTTCTTCTAAATCGGATGTCTATTTTCGTTGATATTTTGGATTTAGAGAAACTATTAACACTCCTATTAAACCCATATTTAAGATTTGATTGAAGTGTTGATGCTGCAATGCCACGCCGAAACAAAGATGAATACAACCAGGCTAACGATGATACTAAACGGAGCTACGCAACAGGAAGTTGCATCTGTATTTGGAATAAATCAGTGGGCTTTGCAACCGTTAAACTAACGTCTGAAGACCATTATCTGGCCATCTGCAGGTAACCACAACCAGGCAGGACCGTCAGACACCCCCCCCCCTTCAGCACATCATGCTATTCAGAACTTGCTGTAAAAACTGCTGCTACAATTGCTGGATGAAGAAAATCAGCATAAAAGTACATAAATTGTTCGCAAGAGACTGAAAAGAGATGGTATTCCTCCACGATAGCCGTACATTGGACACCCACTAGATTGAGACGTCGCACAGTACATATTGTTATGCCCCTTGAATTTTGAAACCTTTTGACTTTTCAATTTGCAACATAGGACATGTTTGATTTTTATCACAACACACTCTAAAATCGCTTAAATAAAATACGGTTTAAACTGAAAACTTAGATTTTCAACAGTATGACATTTAACTCTGGACACGACATAGTCCAGACTTTTTACTACCATTTCTAATTATGACAACCAAAATGTTTTTATATCACTTGGTGGGATTTCTTAGCAGTATTTCAGGGTCTCATGTTGAACTCACAAACATCTCCACTTCTAAAGATATGAAGTCCTAAAACTCGGAATCCCATGGAAGAATGGTGGGATTTTCTGTCCCACCAACAATCCCACCATTCTCCCATGGGAGAAAAAATGTCAGATGGGATATTTTCTCCTGTGGGATTTTTTCTCCTACCAATTTGTTCAAATGGGATAAATCCCACGGAAATTGACAATCAAACTATATCTCCCATTTATTTTGAAACATGGAATATATCCCACAAATTATAACAATTACAAATATCTTGTCATGATATATAGAAAATATTCCTACTATAACAATATATTGGTAAAAATAATTCATTGTTAATATCCGTGGGATTTATCCCATTTGAACAAATTGGTAGGAGAAAAAATCCCACAGGAGAAAATATCCCATCTGACATTTTTTCTCCCATGGGAGAATGGTGGGATTGTTGGTGGGACAGAAAATCCCACCATTCTCCCATGGGATTCCGAGTTTTAGGACTTCATATCTTTAGAAGTGGAGATGTTTGTGAGTTCAACATGAGACCCTGGAATACTGCTAAGAAATCCCACCAAGTGATATAAAAATATTTTTGATATCATAATTAGAAATGGTAGTAAAAAGTTTGGACTATGTCGTGTCCAGAGTTAAATGTCGTACTGTTTTTCATATTATTCTGAATATGCGTTTCTTTTTTTGTTGAGTATATATTTAGGTGTAAGAGATTTTAAAAACCATATTTTTCTTTCCTCAGAACAATTGTACAACTTTAAGTTGAAATGGTAAATCGCGTTTGAAAACTAGTAGGGACTTTTTTTTTAGGCGGAATTGTGGCGATGAAAATATCTTCTTTTCTGCCTCTCAAAATTATTACGGAACAATGAATTATTATTAAGTTCATAGTTTTTACACAATCAAAGACTTGATGAAGTTTTAAATGTAATTTTAATTAATAGAGTAAGTACTACACTTCCTTAATACCCGGTATATCAAATAAATATGATTTTTTCAAATAAACTAGAATTATGTTAGCTTTTGTAAGATTCCAATCTGAGCACAGATTTGACCCAAAAATCCGTAAAAAGTATTTTTTCTCTCTTAGTAAACGACCAGAGCATTTTGTATTTGAATCATTTTGTATCTATATGTGACAACTTTACGATATGTCAAAATGAGAAAAATTTATAGGATTAAACGTTCTTTTTTTCCAGAATTTATCGATGTGTAAACTCTGCCTTTTTCCTCACAAACTAAATGAAAGTGTAAAGTTTGTGAGTAAAAAGGTAGAGTTTACACGTCGTTAAATTCTGATTAAAAGAACGTTTAATTCTTATAATTCCAATTACGAATTTTTAAAATTATTAAAATTATTTCTCATTGAGGCCGCCATACAATCCGTTATTTTGTACGGCGTAGGAATACTTTATGTCGCAAAGAAACGTATAAAAGATGAATATCGATAAAATCCATCTCAAATTGTCAAAACAATCAATCAATAAACTTATAAAAACTCATTGAATGTTGTTTAAGTCAACAAATATCGTAAATACGAGCAGAGAGCTACAGATCCAATCATTCTAAAATCCTCGTTTTTAAGCCGCCAATTTTGTAGCTCACTTTGGGCATTGATTCTTGCATTATATACTTTCCTGAAGTTTAAAAATGTATTAAATAATTAATCAAACATTTAATTCTACTTCCTGATATTAACTTACCTTTCAACCCAATGCCAACAAAAGGTCGTTTGTGGTCAAGGACGTCGAAATGAGACTCTTTTAAAACGACATTTAAAAACTATCCAGAGAAAGCATAAAATTCAAGAAATAATACCTAAATTATCGACAAAAAATGGACATGTTTTCCAGGGGTCTGTAACTCATTGCAAGAAACTCTGGAATAATTGTATAAGTTACTTCAATAAGGTTTCAACTTTCAGTAGATAAAATGCATGTACAATTTGACGACTTCGCATAAGTATTAAGTTTTATTTTAATTTCTCTTTTTCGTGTAACACTGTATGGTTGAGAACAGATGTTCATCAAACCTACACCATTTGATACACAATAAAATTATATAGTTTGTATTATATACACTTGTTCATTGACAAAATTTATTCTTTCGATACGAACGGAACTACCCATAGCAAAGGTATTCTCTAAGAAAAATAGACTCCAAAACATTTCCTTTCAAATTCTTAACTAATTTTCTAAGTAAAGAATCTTGTATGTTTCTGTATGAATATTAGATAATATGTTGATTTGAATATCATTTTTATGTCGTTTTCCCACATTTTTATTAGATAATGGCGGTACGTATATATCTTGTCCTGGTTTTTATTCTTCACACGACGCATGGAGAACAGACACAGACCGGAATCTGTAAAGATGTTTTACAAGGTTACCTGACAGGGAAACTTTCGTATCAGGTAGAGACCTTAAAACAGGAATTCAAAAGCTTCAAAGACGTCATCAACGTCATTGAGGAATCGATGAAAAAGTTCAAGGACGCAGTTAATGCTAGCATACAGGAAGGAGGTATGATTCTAATTAGTGTGTTCCCATTTCGCCTTAACTGTGAAATTCAAGTAAGAAAAAGTCAAAAAGTACTAAGGCGAAATGGGAATTTTAATATTTGTAAATATTATTATAATTTAAATTTTAAAAATTGAATAAGATTGAATTTAACAGTTAATTGGAATTTATGAATACAGTGAATGAAATAATACATTTAACACCAAGTATTTTTTAAAAAATACATTATGCTAAATATTTTAAATCTTCATCACCTTAATTCACCTGAGAGATTACTAAGGTGAAATGGGAATACGAAATTTTACAGTTAAGGTGAGATGGGAACAAACCCTCTAATGTACATGAATAGTGCCTATGAATTATTATTAATTTATTATTATTTTATTCCATGTATTAAAAAATGTTTTGGTAGGTACTGGAAAAAGAGACATTATATATACAAGATGGGGAAAGAAAACGTGTCCTTCAAACGCAAAATTAGTCTATTCAGGTAAATAAATTCTACATTTTTTGAAGTTGATTAAAAAATTTCTGCTGTTTACTTTTTGTTTGCCAATATACATAATTATTATAATTTAGCAGTGTAGGATAAAGAGAAAAAATATAAAGAAATAAATAAACAAACAAATAGATAGGTACAGACAGACAGAAAGAAATCCATTTTTAATAAATGAAATTACGTTTGAGAAAATTTAATAGGATTCGTCGGAGGATCGAATCCTGGTCATTCAGGATCAGCTGTAGAACCTCTTTGTTTACCACGGGACCCAGAGTGGGGGCTGTACAAGGATGGATTTGAAGGAGATAAAGCTTACGTATTCGGAGCAGAGTACGAATCATACACCTTTACAAGTCACTTTACTTCCCTACATAATCATGATGTACCGTGTGCCGTGTGCCTTGTTCAAAATAGATCTGTAGTAAAAATGTTTCCAGGTGAGAAAATATCGTTAATACAAGTTAACTTTTCTTTTTGTTTTAAATTTGCATATTAGAAATTGTACAGTTATCTTTTTTTAGTTACAAGTGAGAAATTAATAAAATATTTTATACAGCGTTTTTGGCGTAATTGAAGATTAAAGCAATATGAGCTGCTGCATTTGTGATAAATTTAATTTGCTGTTAAAATCTGCTGTTATCGTCTGTCTGTCATTATGTCCATTTGAAAACTTTTCACATTTTCGACTTCTTCTCAAAATTCACGGGGTCAATTTTAACCAAATTTGGTACAAAACGTCCTTGGGTGATGGTAAGTGTAAATTCTTAAAAGTAAAGGGTCCCTCATACAAGGGAAATAATTCATAAAAAACAAGAACAAGAACAGGGATCATTTAAAAGTTTTCTTCCTAAAAACTACTGGGCTAGAAAATCCCCTGGGGTAGGGTGATGCCACAACATGGGGAAT